ATTTAGAAGCAGTGGTAAGGCCTGCTGATAGTCCCCTGAATGCACCATATTTTGCCTTTGTGTAGTAGAACCCTGGTGAATTTCAACAGGGGTTGTGGTCACTCAACTAAAGACTACATTTTCTTGGTCTTACTCTCAAAATGACTGAGAATGAGCTCTGCACTTTCCCCTTTCCTGATAGATGGACCATGGATGTAATACAGATGAGCTTTCTTTGGCCATGAGGACAAGGGCCACATGCCAGGCTATGTCCGGGATAAGGACCTTGGACCCTGGACACCCTCAAGGCTCAAAACCATCTTTCTGCCCAGAATCAGTCCCCTCTCTTTGGACTGTCCTATGAGAAAGAAACTTCTGTCTTGTTTTACCTCTTCTATTTTTTTTATGATTTTTTTTTATAGTAGCATAGTCTGTACCCTGCTTACTACATCAGCTAAAAATAATTAAGTTTATCATTAAAAATAATTTTAAGGGGAACTTGGGGTCAAGGGGAAAGTTCTCTTTGGCCCTCTGAAGGCTCACTGAAAAATCAACTCACAAAGTTAGATTCGTTGGAGAAAAGGCATACAAATTTACTTAATGTGTATACACAGGGGCATTCAGAATGAAGACACAAAAATACCAGAGAAATTGGCCATTTTTATGCTTAGGTTCAACAAAGCATTGATCGCTGTGTAGAAGTTGGACAAAAAGGGTAGATCTAATGCGAATAGACTGTGCAGGGAAAGCCAGCAAGGCTTGTCTAGATTCTTCTTGGCATCTCTGAGCCGCGTTCCTTCCTTCTGGGTGTGGAGCAGGACCCGGTCTGGAATAAGGGTCTCATGACCTACACTCAAACAAGGTAGGTCAGATCATTTCTTTACGGCCAGTTTTATACAGAAAGGCAAAGGGAAAGTTAGAGAAATATGTTTAGGTTTTGTGGCTGGCTTTGGAGAAAAGAGGTTGTTGTTTCCATGACTCATCATGGGGAAGAGGGGCTCTAGTTTCCATGGCTATCCCTGGCAGAGAATGGGACTGAGAGACAGGAGGGTGGGAGAAGATCAGAGAAAAACTCTTGCTTCTGAGACCTTCTTTTTGGAGTATTGTTTTCTGAGTCCCAACAATATCCTTCCCTGAATGTTTTCCCACCAAACTATTGTCCCAGTTAGGCCTTTCTCTTCACAATCCAATATCCTGAAGTCTCTATTTGGTCTTCCATTCACTCAATTTTTCATTTTGATTTTATTTTTGAAGTGTTCGCAAGCCCACATACATGAGTGATATATGAAAATACTCTCATTGTAAACATATCAAATACTCTAAAAACAGAGTCAAAGGTCAAAGCATTCCTCCACCCCACACTGCTCCCAACCTTTTCCCCATGTACTTCATGTGGTTTCTTTCACACTTTTATCTATTTATGTGCATCTATGTTACATACATGGCTCCATGTTGTGTGGTATATCCCATTCCCCCATAAGTTGCTCTGGAAAATTTTCCAGGTCAATATATAGATATACACTTGCTTCATTCTTTTTGACCACTACATGGTGTCTTGTAGGAAAAATGTACCAGAATTTCCTGCTAATGGGCTTGCAGATTATTCATTTTTTCACTGTTGGTTTCTATTTTTTTTCCCTTTAAAAACTGTCTCTAGCCAGGCATGGGGGCGGGCACCTGTAATCCCAGCTACTCTGGAGGCTGAGGTAGAATTGCTTGAACCAGGGAGGCAGAGGTTGCAGTGAGCTGAGATCACACCATTGCACTCCAGCCTGTGTGACAGAGACTCTGTCTCAATAAATAGATAGATGATAGATAGAAGATGGATAGATAAGAATAGTATTGTAATGATCATCCTTTTATATATATCTCTGCTCACATGCAAGCTTGTCTGAGAAGTGGGGAGTTAGCACAGCTGGCCTTTGATTTCAGTAAAGGAAATTCCTGGTAAATATCCTAAGAACTGAATCTCCTAGTAAACAGACAAATGGTATTTGCTGAGAGAACTCTTTATCTGTGGAATGTGCTTAGTAGGATATGGCTGGTTAAGGGTTGCTTACAGCAAATAAACTTAGAATTTATGGATTTGTGAGACAAGACTCCTAAGAGAGTCACCAAAACTATACCACCTAGGGTATAAAATGCAATGTTTCCATACCTAAGGCCTCCCTGCTGAGTGAGAGGACCGCAAACCTCCCTTGAGGTCTCATCTGTTACCCTGAGCCACAGAGCAGGTGTCTCCTGTGGGAACGAGAGCCTGGGAGGCATGCAGGATGACGCAGGCCTCTCCTTGCTTTGCCAGGACTTTTTGATTCCTTGTGTCCTTGAAACTATGAGGAAAGCTTGATGAGTAAGATCTCTGATGCATGGCAGTCAGATTTGACAATCTGATCCTGTGTGTTAGTAGATTCCTGGAAGTTACCAAGTTGCCGTCCAAGCAGTCTGTTTCAGTTTCTATTCCCACCAAGAGCGTAAGTTTCTCAGTAATGTTGGTTATAGTTTCACCACCTGTGGGCCAACAACCCATTGCCATTTAAATCTGTATTTTTATTAGTATTATTGTTACATGTTTGCCGGCTCTTTGAATTTGTGTATGCAATTCCTGCTAATACTATTTGCCCCTCTTCTTTGGGTTAAATTTTCTTTTTCTTATTTATTTGAGAAACATCAGAGTGTATGTGGATTCTGGAGTAGACTGAGTGCAAATCCTGGTCTGCCACTTGCTCAGCGTGGGGCCTCAGAAAAGTGACCAAAACTTTAGCTTCAGTGCTTATTTGATAAGGTCTTATGAAGATGATCTGAGATACTGCATGTAAAACACCAAGAATAACGCCTGGCACATAGCAAATGCTCACAGACAGCCAGTCATAGGAGCTCTTTTGTTTTTCTTTTACCTAATTCCCAATGCGATAACAATGAACCACTTGTTGGTTCTTTTTATTTTTTTAATTTTGGGTTTTTTTTTTTTTCAGAGACAGGGTTTCTTCTGTTGCCCAGACTGAAGTGGAGTGGTGTGATCACAGCTCACTTGTAGTCTTCACCTCCTGGGCTCTACAACTCTCAACTTCAGCCTCACAGTAGCTGAGACTAGTCATGTGCGAACATGTTCGGCTAATTTTTTCTTTTTTTTTTTTGTAGAGACAAGGTCTTGCTATGTTGCCCAGGCTGGTCTTGAACTCCTGGCCTCAAGTGATTCTCCCACTTCAGCCTCCCAAAAGTGCTGCGATTACAGGCAATGAGCCACCACAGTGTGCATAGGAGCTCTTTATGTTTTCTGCATATCAATGCCTTTATTAAATATGTTGTAAATATTCTCCCTTTGTCGCTTAGTGTTTTAACTTTAGATATATTATCAGATTTTTTAATGCAATCAATTCTGTCATTCTTTTTCTATACAGATATCTTATAACCTGATTTTTTTATCTGAACCATTTTGTTCAACTGACTGCTCCAAATTTCAATCACATTGTCTTTATTCTGCTTATGACTCTGTGGTTAGAATCTTTTTTTTTTTTTTTTTTTTTGAGACAGTCTCACTCTGTTGCCTAGGCTGGAGTGGCAGTGCACAATCTCGGCTCACTGTAGCCTCGTGCCTTCTGGGTTCAAGTGATTCTCCTGCCTCAGCCTCCCAAGTAGCTGGGATTACAGGCACGTGCCACCACATCCAGCTAATTGTTTATATTTTTGGTAGAGACAAGGTTGCACCATGTTGGCCAGGCTGGTCTCAAACTCCTGACCTTAGGTCATTCACCCACCTCAGCCTCCCAAAGTGCTGGGATTACAGGCGTGAGCCACCATACCCAGTCAAATATTTTCTTCTTTGGTCTCACCAGACACCATTCTTGTTTTTCTTTCATAGAAGACAATCATTAGACTTGTCTTTTCTACTTTTCCCCTAAAGAACAGGGTTCAGGACAGTCGCAATGGCTCACACCTGTAATCTCAGCACTTTAGGAGGCCAAGGCAGGAGGATCACTTGAGGTCTGGAGTTCAAGACCAGCCTGGCCAACATAGTGAAACCCCATCTCTACTAAAAATACAAAAATTAGCTGGGCGTGGTGGTGTGTGCCTGTAATCCCAGTTATTCAGGAGGCTGAGGCACGAGAATCACCTGAACCCGGGAAGCAGAGGTTGTAGTGACCCGAGACTGTGCCACTGCACTCCATCCTGGGGGAGAGAGTGAGACCCTGTTTAAAAAAAAAAAAAAGAACAGTGTTCCTTTTTTTCTTTCTTCTCTTCCCACATCATATTCCCTGGATGATCTTATTCACTCCAATAGTTTCAACAATCCCCCTTAGGCAGATGACACTGAAAATCTTCAGGGTGACATTTTCTACTGTTTATGGAGTATTTCTAGCTTGAGGTCCCACAATCACCTTACACTAAATTTCTTCTAAAGTTGAATTTTATAAATACTATCTATATATTAAGATGATCTCTAAGGAATACTGTTATACTTTTTGTTTAACTTACAATAAATGGTATGTATAGAATATTTTTATGAACAAAAGAATATAAATATTTCTATGCAACAGGTGTAGTGTCCTCTGGCAGGACATAAACATTGGTAAAAGTAGTTATGACAGTGGGAGAAGACTTGCTTTTTAACTTTACCTTCTTTGTGCATTCTGAATTTTGTACCATGCTTTGTGCCCTTTGAAGGCCTACTCAAAAATAAATGCAAGTCTATAAATAAATACAAGGGACCTTCTTATCAGTCCCATCAAACCTATTCCCTGTCTGGCTGATGATATCACTCATCCATTCAGTATCTGCTAAAGACTTGGGAATTATACTCTCTCTCCTCAAATGCACATCCAATTACCATATTCAGTTGAAATGCTAGATCCTTCATTCACTTATGCATTCAATAGCAGCCCTAAGAACACACAATAAGCCAAACTGGGTAGAGAGAAAAAGATGGATGAGACATTGTCAGCACAGTACCCACAAGAAGCTCCCAGCCCAGGGATACAGAGCAACCATACCACACACTGAAACAGTGCTTCCTAAACAACTGATTCCTTTAGACATTTACAGGTATTTATTTGAGTAAGAGCTCATAAAATATATTTTTATAATATACACAAGAAAAAATACATTTGAATGAATAAAAAATAAAATGACAGAAGGTGACAGAATTTAGTGTTTATAAATGAGGTCATAAAGAACTTTAATAATTCAGAGAAGAAATTCAAAGTATATTTAAAAGTTGAGACCCTGCTTTACAATATTTTATAATTAAAAAAAGGTGTTTAAAGGTGACACATGACTTAATAATTTTCCAATTTCAAAATGAGTTTCTAGACACTATTGTTCATGAACCAAAAAAAAACCAAACAACAACAAAACCCAAACACTTTGGCAAGCAAAGTATTATTAGTCCATAGCAGCTTCATAACAGTTTACTTTTTTAATAAAAAGATTTTTCAATTTACACTTGTTGTAGTAGAAAAAACTAATATGCTAAGTCTGTAAGCTATGCAGTAAAAATAATGACCGTAATGAAGCCAGAATTCTATGAAAATGTGCACCACATTGCATATATAGTAGCTGAGTAAATGTAAACCATGTGCTTATTAACTCTTCTATATAAAATACTGAACCCCCAAGTCTCACACATTGCCTCCTATGTCCACATCTCTTTTTTGAAGGCAGCCTCACGCTTTAAGCCAATATATATTTGCTATTTGAAAAAGTTCTCATCCTCATCACTAAAAAGGTTTCTGTAAAGGCCTTAGACATTTTTTCAGTACCCTAGTAACAAGACACACCATCATCAATAAATGATCACAGCCTTTCGAAAAAACTACTGAGATTGGAGAATGGGTTTCTGTCTCCAACCCCTGAAAGACGTTGCTGTTTCAAGACCTACAGCTCCAAGAAGACAACTCAGAATTTCTTACTTTTAAAAAAATATCGTCATGAATAACTGAATAATTAGATTTCTAGGAAAATGAGGCGTTTAAATTAAGATTTAGCAAAATCAACTATAATGTATTTACTTCTACTCATTGATGAATGACAGAAATCAGTTAAAGTTTTACAAACAAAAGATATAAATACTGCATAATACATAGTGAATGTTGGCACAAACCCTTTCGTACTTAAAGCATAAAATGCAATCAGTAAATCTGATGCTCTTAAGTGTGTTTCTTAAGATGACATCAAAAAACCTCTAGATAGCATGGAAATTTCCCAGTTTAAGGCTTTCCAATAGGTTTGTAGCAAGCATCAGGTTGCCAGAGGCGAATATCAACAAGAACTTGATTGAGTTTTTGCATCCAGAGATCCCGCTCTTCTTTAGTATCTGCAGACAGCCAGTTCCTACAGGAACAAACAACCAAAGAGGTCAGAATTCTTCTCCCCCGATTCCATACCCCCATGTACTCTTGCAAGGGAAAAAAATGACTAAATAAACCAGTAAATGAATTACCTTTAACCACCTTTTATAGATGCTAATCCAGAGCCACTTAGTGAGGTGCATCTCCAAATAAAACAGAGGAAAATTATCCCGTTTGGTTAACTGATGCTAACTTACACTAATTACACTTGGTAAAGGATGGTGCTTCCAACAGGTGTTTTATACAGGTAGTGTGTGGCCTGGGTAACCTGATAGTATAGGACACCCACTGAGTGTGGGCAACTTCTCAGCAAGAGCACCAAAGGCCTGAATATAGGCACTCCCTGAATATAGGCACCCCAATATAATCTTCAGAGTCAGGTTCCCCAACAGCTGCAATCACAGACTCATGATCCTTCACCTGGCTCTACAGGTAATATTATTTTGCACTGTCTGCCATTAGATTTGTCCTACTATATTAGTAGAACAGGTATTTATAATAAACTATCTAAAGATCCTAAAACTTTGTCTATCCTAACCTCTCTGTCCATATTAGGAATATTTTCCTTGCATCCATATTTAGTTACAAGTTGAAAGAATAACTAGTTGACGGGGCAGGCCAGAGTAAGGAAGGGGGGATTCCCTAACTTATAGCCCGAACATCCTTCTAGGGAACGGCCAGCCATTAGGTTTTTACATTGCACTCATTCTACAACTTTATAAGTTCTCCCCATTTGTACAAGAAATGGTGTAAATATGAGTAAGTGGAGTTTATCACCTTCTAGTAGTCAATGAAGAAAGTACTGCACTTATAATAGCCACCACTTGTTAAGCTCATTCCATGTACTTGAAACTGTGCTAAGTGTGTTTACTCATTCATCTCTATTGTCTGAAGTCTCTGTGAACCTATTCTGGTTCAAGAGGCTTAAAACAACAACAACAACAACAACAAAAACTCTATTGTCACTGTAGAGTTTGTTTTTCCTTTTTGACACAGAAGATTTCAGAGGGCCAGCAAAGTTAAGTGACCTGCCATGGTTACATTTGATGAGTCAGGATTTAAACTTAAATCTGTTGACCTCAAAGCTCCACTGTAACTACTGCCTCCCCATGTGATAAAACATTCTGGTTTCAATGTGTAGTCTCTGTTTTGAAGTATGCAGTAGAGATTAGAAGATAAATCGTTAGCATTGACAGCAAACTTAGTTAGTAGAAATGAAAATGAGGTACATTAAATTCAAGTAAAAGGCCTAAGTCCAAAAGGCCCAAGGCCCTGTAAGGAAACAGTTCAGTAAGGCAAAGGAGAATGCAGAACTGCAGAATGTTTATATTCTCACCATCAAAAAAGTTAAATAAAATTTAGGCCACCAAGCAAAGCTGAAGACTCAGCCAAGACTGAATTGAGAATGTACCACTCTCATATGCTTGAGCGAAGGGTACCCATCCAAGTTATAATTTTATAGTAAGAAAGACCACAAGTAAATGAGGCACAGAGTAATTAAAGTAACATGTAATCTGGCTATTTTTTTTTTTAATCACAGGGGAAGGTCTACAGAGAAGTCTAAGAGAGTTTATGCAACCAGTGAAAAATAAGGTTATACAAAAAATGTGAGTGATATTCAAAATGGCTGAAGTGGGCTGCTGTGGTTAAGAACTATCTGGATACTGCACTTTGGTTGGTTCCTCCACTGACCATGGCCATGGACAGGTCGCTATCAAACAAAATGATTAGAAATCCATTTTGCCTGTCCTGCCCTGTCTGATTCCACCACTGCATAGAAGACCCCTGAAAGAATGAATGAGTTAAAATGAATAAATCTGAAAGTAATCTAGACATCAAAATTTTCCAACAAATGAGTCTTCTATCCAGCTATTTTAAAACAAATTGGCAGTCTCTGGGCAACTTCGTTCTACTTTAGTATCGTGTCTCCTGTAGCTTTCTAATATTTTCACATTAGAAACTCATAAAGCTAGTCCTACCAATCTCCCCCCATCTGCAATATCCAGCAACAGCCTAATTACTAAAGATCTTACCAAATTCTAACTTTTGTACCTAATGACAACTCTGTACACTGAAGTTGGTCTTCAAGCTTCTCTTAGGCATCCAAGCAAAGAAACCTATCTCAGAATCTTAGCAATAAACCTTTGTATCTTACACTCGAGCTCAGGGTTAATTAAAAAAGGGGTACCCCCAAAAGTTTTATTCTGTTAATCTCCATCCAGAAATTTGCAGAATAGAATGAGACTGTTTTTGTGAGTCATCTGATTACATGAGGTTATTCTGGGAATGGAAGGAAGGGATGTGTAAAGTCTCTTTGAATAATGCTTGACTCCTCAACTACGCATGAAATCTTTAAACTTACCCCAAAGATTATCTAACTGCCATGAAAATGCCTCCACTGTGAGCATACCGGAAAACATTAGCTAAGATACGACCTGAGTATTATACTTTCCTTAACTACGTTAATTTAGTTATTACAGATGGTTCACTTACTGCTTTGTGTATGTTCTGTTTTCTCACTAAGGCTGTGCCCTTTTCAACGTCAAGGACTATCTCTGATATTTCTTAGTGGTAAGTACATAGTGTACATAGCGGGCAATCAATTGCTTAGTTGATCGAAATATTTATAGGCCAATACATACTTGGTGACACAGAGTGTGTCCCTGCATTGGCTGACAAGAGTCTCTCGGTCATCTTCTCTTTGTGGTCGGACAGTAATTAATTCAAAAGTGTGGCGTCTTGCACAAAATTCTCTGTTGGCTGGTTCTATCTGACGACTGGTACAATTAGCCAGATTTATCCTTCCTATGGGATTCTTTAAAAACAAATTAAGAGAAATCAGTAGAAAATAAGACTAAGTAAGTATTAAGCAGCATTTAAGTTGGTACAAATTAAAATTAAAATTAAAAAGCTATTCATTTAAAAGTTAAAATTTAGTTACGCTGGGCTTAGAGAAACATATTTAACATTTATTATTGTTCCTAGCTAGACATAAAAATAAAACTCAAAAATATCAACTGGTAGCTCTTGCCAACTATCCTAAAAAGCACTTTATTATGGTGAACTTCAAATAAAAAACACAAACAACAGTATAATGAGCCCCAGGTACCAAAACCAGCTATAACAATGAGAAACACACCCAACTGCCTTTTATCTGTAACTTACCCACTTCTCCCCTTTCTATAAAAGGAAACCTAGACATTGGATTTCATGTGCAAATATTTCTTTATATATCTATAAAAGATAAGGGCAGGCAATTGCCCTGGATTGTTGGCAGCCATGAATTCCTATGACACAAGTCAAAGTGGAGGAAAACATTCACGAGACCAAATGGTCCTGAAAACGGGAAAAGAAACACATATAGGCACACATGAGCCAACAGCCAATAACTGTGTCAACTCTATTAGAATTTTTAAAAATAAAAGGAGAATACACCATTTTAAAACCTTAGATTGGCTAAGTCTGGAAAAAACAGTAACGACCTCTGTTAATTGGTTAGGGAGTGAGTAACACAGATTCTTATGCATCACTGGTGAAAGTATAATATGATCTATTGCTGGTAGGCAACTTGATAACAGTAATCAAAAACCATTAACAATGAGCATTTTCTGATCCTACAGTTCCACCTAAATTTATCCTAAGCAAGTATATAAATATGTACACACAGATTCTAATATGTGTAGTCACTGTTTTTTCATAATAGCAAAAAATTCTAAACAAATTAAATGACAGTAACAGGGGACTATTTAAATAAATCATGGTATTGTTTCCAGCAAATATGATACATTAAATAGTCTGAAAGTCCTCTCATTATATAAGCCGCCAAATGCTAGATAATTAAATTGACAAGAAAGTAGAAAAATCCTTCAAAGGCCAAAATCAATGAGCAAGGGAGAATGAAGAATATTAAGCTAGTGTGAAACCCTGACTTCCCTTGGGGCATTTGCCAACACTAAGACCTGCAACCTAGAAATGACAGAATATAAATTCTGGTATTTGTTTTAAAACACCCTAGCAAAGCAACAAAACAAAGCAAAACAAAAATGCATGCGTGTTGTGGGGAGATAAATGAAACCTGAAAATGAATAATTAATTAAGCTGGAAGTTCATTATACTATTTTTGCTTAGTATACATTTGAACATTTTCAATTATAAAATGCAAAACAGGGCTGGGTGCAGTGGCTCATGCCCGTAATCCCAACACTTCAGGAGGCGGAGACGGGTGGATCGCTTTGAGCTCGAGTTTGAGACCAGCCTGGCCAACATGGTGAAACCCCATCTCTACCGAAAATACAAAAATTAGCCGTGTGTGGTGGTGCTTGCCTGTAGTCCCAGCTACTCCAGAGGCTGAGGCAGAGAATCGCTTGAGCCCAGGAGGCAAAGGTTGCAGTGAGCCCAGACCGCTCCACTGCACTCCAGCCTGGGTGACCGAGTGAGACCCTCTCTCAAAAAAAAAGAAAAAAGTGAAACATTCTGGGAATGGAAGGAAGGGACGTGTAAAGTCTCTTTGAATAATGCTTGACTCCTCAACTACGCATGAAATCTTTAAACTTAACCCAAAGATTATCTAACTGCCATGAAAATGCCTCCACTGTGAGCATACCGGAAAACATTAGCTAAGATACGACCTGAGTATTATACTTTCCTTAA